TCTAGAATTTACTAGGGAATGCATTTCCCACTGTGGGGCAGAGAGCTCTGCTGCTTAGTGATGAATGCACTCATCTTTAGTGAATCTCCTTCTGTTGTGCTGGGTTAAAAAAAGCAAATGGCAGAATAAAATGTATAATATGCTACCATTTACACCAAACAATTATAATAACAGTAAGCTCCCGAGTGCCTGGGCTATCTTTGAAGGGCCCTGGAATGACTTGCTTTCAGCCAGAGAAACGGGGGGGATGATGGGGGACGGACTGAGTTCCGGCATGGAAGAATGTGTTATATATGTGCCATGTTGGGTTTTGTCTGGATGAATGCATTTGTGGGTGCATGTACACATGTGTACACACACATGCATGTGTATACACACACACTCAGGTTTATGTGTGCAGGTGAGGAGGTAAGAGGTCAGCCTTGGCTGTTGCCTCACTTACTCCCCCTTGGCTTTTGAGACCAGTTCTCTTACTGGCTGGGAGCTTCCGGATTAGGCTAGGCTGAAGGGCCAGCAGCTAGCTAGCCCTGACAAGTTCTATCTCCGCCTCCCCAGCACGGGCATGATGTCACCTACAGACACCTGAACTAGGCTCACATGCTTGTGAAGCAAGAGCGTTTCTGACTGAGCCTTTGCTCTTGACTGTGGGTCTCAGCAGATACTTTTTATCCTTCATGAATATGTTAACATCCCCATGTACACCTATTTAAATACACATGTGTTCAGACAACCCTCAAAACAATAAAGTGGGGCTGAACTTCCGTCTTCTCTGAACAGATGAAACCAGGATGCAGTAGGCAACCCACCTACTGCAAGCCTTTCGGGACCCTCTGAGCACTGACAGCCCCAGTCCCCCGTGGTGGCAGCACAGGGGAAGACTGGGAGTCAAGACAGGCTTTGGTTAGAGCCCTCTTGGGGCAATGCTAAGGACCATTTCCCATGTGGAGCTGGGGGACCTGGCCAGCTCTGTGGTGAAAGGACTGTTGGAAACTTCCCCTTCCGTCCACACTACCAGCCCCACCGCCTGCCAAGTTCTTCCTTCCCAGTCTCAAGGGCACACACTGACCTTGACCTCCCTTCCTCCACTCTGCTACATAGCCCACACCCAGGGCTGGGCCCAGCTCCGTGGTGAACACCTTGCTCAGCATCCTGGTGGCCCTGGATTTGACCTGTAGTACCCAGATACCACCGCCAACCTCCATTCCAGGAGGGTCTGGACCAGCGACTCACCCCTTCTCTCCCAAAGTCCTAGGGGGCTCCTCCCTCACTGGAAGGCAAGGCTTTCCTCCAATAAGAGAAGGCTTGACTGCCTGGGTAGAAATGGGCAGAATCACATCTATTCTGAAACAGAAGCAAGGTTTTGGTGGGGACAGAGATGGCAGACTTGTTGCTCCAAGAGTCTCCATGGGTCCAAGGAGCACAGGAGCATGAGCTGTGGCCTTCCCGCCATCAGCAGACAGCTCAACACCACCCAACCACAGCTGTCACTGGCACTTTCTTATTTGGGGTGTGCTGCTAACACGTACCCAGGATGATTAGATAGACAGTATCCAGTGTCTGATTAGATGACATTCCTCAGCCCTTTAAATGCCTGTCAACTCTCCAGTTGGCTCTGAAAGTCTCCGTCTACAATCCTGTGCCCTTTCCCCTTAACTAAGGGCAATGGGGGTACTCCCTTTCCATATGTGTGTGACCTTTCCCCTAATGCACAGTCGTCCTGATAAAGGCCTCTAAGCCCTTTGGGGGTGGGTAGCTGGGAGAGAGCTTTGCAGTACGTTTGCTTAGTGGTGTGTTGGGGTTCTTCAAGGGAGACCCAGCTGTCCTTTTACTTGAGGGTTGTGACTGGAAACTCAACTCTTCTCCATTCCCTGCTTCCCCTCCTCCTGCACATATGTGCTGATGTGTATGTGTGTTCATGCATGCACGTGCCTATGGAGACCAGAGGTCAACCCTGGGTTGTGTTCCTCAGGAGGTCTCCACCTTGTTTTTCCAGGCAGCATCTCTCACTGGTCTGGAGCTTGCTGTTTTGGCTAGACTGGTCTGACCAGCACGCCCTAGTAATTCTGTTTCTTCCTTCCCACAAGTGCATGCCATCACATACTTTTTAAAGTTGGGGCTGGGGATTGAACTCAGGTCCTTATGCTTGCATAGTAAGTACTTTATCAACTAAGCTATCTCCCTAGCTACTAGACTGGTTTTTTTTATCTGAGTTACATTTGTTCACCTCAATTCCAACTCTGATGCTAACACAGATCAAGTTAACTTCTGGAAACCGTAAGATGAACTTTGTAGCACTATGGGCTGTCCCAGGACCGCTCTGATGGCTGCTTTTACTCTGCTGTCCCTTACATCTCCCAGGGGCCAGTTGCCCAGAACCTGTGGGCTGGGAAGCCTGTGTGAGCCCTTGGTGATCTGAGTTGGTCCTCATCCAATGGTGCCTGTGAGTTCCACAGCTTCCCTCATGAGGATTCTCCTAGGTTTTTCTCCTCTAAGGACCATCTCCATGATGACCCTGAATGAGCTTGAGTGTATGACTGGCTCTCTGGGGTCTCAGAAAGGCCTTCTTGAAGGACAGGTGACAGAGGGTGGTGTGGGACTGCAAAGCAGTACAGCTGGGCGCCTCAGCAACACTAGATTGTAGGGGTGTTATGGGTTCTAGGGGCTTACCACATCACTCAACATGTGCCCCAGAGCTTCCATTTGGGTTGTCTGAGGTTAGGTACTTCACTCTCAGTGGATGGTTCTGGGCTGTGGCATCTCTGGCTGGATGGGAGTGCAGGACCTCTGGCCTAGATTCAGTAGGTGGCACTGAGTGGGTTGGTGGTGTGACAAGGGTGTCCACCAGAAGCAGGGACCTAACACTTTCACTGCAAGGACGTGAGGGAGATGGATGCTCAGTGCCCAGTCCCAGGCTGAGAGGGTGGGGACAACTGCTGCTTCACTCATCACTTCTAGAGAGAGGCTGATGTTTCCAGCAGGTGTGACAAAAAACGGGACACATGGGACACAGCTCAGACATCCTGTGACAAGTGGATGTGTAAAGGGGGTCTCTGGATGGTGGAATATCACTCTTCCAAGGGCATCTGGAAGATGCTACAGCATGGGGGAATCTGTCAAAGTATGGGAAGGAACCCACCATACCACAAGGAGACCTAACCCAGGACAGAGATGTACCACAGCTCAGGAGAAGTCAAGGGCATTGCACAAAAAGGGATAGAGAGAGAAATAATACTCAATTTCACTCTACGAGGTCCCCAGAACCATTAGATTCATAGAGACAATAGACTGGGGGAATGCCAGAGACTGGAGGGGCCATTGTATGATGGAAGGAGTTTGGAAGATGAATTCTGAGAGTAGAGAGGGAATGAGGCATGTCACCAAAATGCAAATGTGCTTAGCACTGTTAAGCCATGCACTTTTAGATGACGAACATGGTTGTTTAGTTTTTTCTGTTGGTCACAAAAAAAAGTGAGAGGAGAAGGAAGGAGAGGAAGAGGGAGAGGGAAAGGAGAAGAGGAGACAGGAAGAGAAGGAAGGAAGGAGAGGAGAGGGAGAGGGAAAGGAGAAGAGGCGACAGGAAGAGAAGGAAGGAAGGAGAGGAGGAAAGTGAGGGATAGCGAGAGGAGGGAAATGAGAGGAAGAAGAGGAGGGAGGAGAAAGGGAGGGAGGGAGAGAGAGAAAGAGAGAGGGAGGGAAGGAGGGAGGGAGAGGGAGGGAAGGAGGGAGGGAGGGAGCGAGAGGGAGGGAAGGAGGGAGGGAAGGAGGGAGGGAAGGAGGGAGGGAAGGAGGGAGGGAAGGAGGGAGGGAGGGAGAGGGAGGGAGGGAGAGGGAGGGAGGGAGAGGGAGGGAGGGAGGGAGGGAAGGAAGGAGGGAGGGAGAGGGAGAGAGGGAGGGAGGGAGAGAGGGGGATAGGAGGAGGGACAGGGAGAAGAGAGTGTCTCCCTAAGGTCTCCCGGCAGTAGAGTTCTCCAGAAAGGTCCAAACCCAAGCCCCTGACCCCCGCACCCCTGGCTGCCCTGGCCTATGGTTCTACCATCCAAGTCATGCACATTCCAAGCACAGTTCTCATGCTCATAAATGTCCACTACTACCCCAGCTCCAGCTTAGAGCCAGGAGTTTAGAGAAGCCCCGGTCATCACATCTCTCATCACCTAAAAAACCTACTCCCCAGAACAAGGAAGGCTACAGAGCGCCCACTGTGTGGACACAGGTGCTCAGGGGACACAGACCCCTTTCACTGAGACTTTCTACCACAAGATGCGCCACCAGCCTCCCTCTCAGATACAGTGAGAAATGCCAGTAGGGACAGGCTCTACTTCCTTCCTGCACAGGCCCTTTCCAGAACAACTTTTGAGCACTTTCAAAAGTTCTTGAAATTCTATGATTTGGACATGCAATAAAATCCATTAAGAGTCACTGCATGTGCTGTGACGGGCTAGTCCCAGAGTAGCAAGTTGTGTCTTTCCACGGGTCCTCAGAGGAGGAGCCAGTACTCCCTCCCCAGTAAGAGGGATGGCCCTTCAGATATCTGAAAGTTCTCTCCAGGCTCACTCGGGAGAACAGTTGTGTCTGGCATTCCCAAGCCTTTCAGTATTTCATTTGTGGGGACTAGGAGCTCTCATGATGCCCTGCAAATTACATCCCTGCCCTCAAAAAATATTTACAACCTGCAGACAAATTAAGATTGAAAAAACAGAACAAGTCAGGTATGGGGGGTGCCCCCCCACAATGCTCAGCAGACAGATGTGAGGTCAGGGCTAGCCTGGGGTACACAAACAGACTGTCTAGAAAACAAAGCAGCTCCCCATACAGAAAGCCAAAAAGGCCGCAGACAGCCCTGCCTAGGATGCACTGTACTTTCCCATTAAATGCTTTGATTCAGAACAGAAAGAGGACAGCTGAGGCTTGGTGTACGGGGAAGAGCCAAGCCACAGCCGCTCTGAGCATGCTTCAGCTGTGCCCCTCCTTCCTGGCCTTTCTACTCTTGGTGCATACAGAGACCCAAGCAGCAGCATCACTGCCTCTCCAAGCTGATCTGGGTACTAGTAACTGGATGGGGTGGGTCCTGCCCCACTCCTGTTTTCCTTCATTTTTCTATATCAGGGACGAGGTGATCTATTTTTAGTGTGTGGCTGGTTAAGTCAGGGGTTGCTATAGTGACGGTGAGTGGCTACAAACCCAGAGCTGCTCAGATTTCCAGTCGCAGAGAAATCCCAACACGGAGTCCTGACAGGAATGCGACATTGGAGAATGGAGTGACCCTGCTCATGAGAGTCCCTGCCTACCGTGTGCATGCCATGGGAAGGCTGAACCCGAGTCTTGCTGGCAGTAAGTGACTCCGGACTCGGGACTGGGAGAAAAACCAGCGAGTTGATTGGGAATGGGTGCCAAGGCTCAGTCGCAGATGAGATGTGTCACCAGAGGGAGGGGGCACAAAAGGGAGCATCAGGGTTGGTCAGGAAGCAGAGGAGAAAGGAGAGCATAGGCAGAGCCCTGACTCTTGTTTCCAAGGATGAGAAGGTGAGGCAGGTTGAGCACACCAAGACTGGTTTCTGTGGATGTCTCAGTGGGCCTCAGGGGTCTCAGTGCTGTCTGGCTGCCTGTCCCTGGCCTCCAGTGACTAGGGGCCCATGGAGGAGTAGGTGTGCAGAGCCAGGCTCCAACTGATTACTGTGTACATAAAAGGGTGGGCTTCTGGGCAACCTTTGGCAAGAATTGGGTAGCTCTTAGGAAAAGGTCCCTCAGGGATGGCCATATGTAAGACCATCAAAAGGAATGGGAACTGGCTCTATCCTCAGCATCACAAAAATAAACAAAAGACCCCAAATTATCTTCAATATAAGATGCTACACACATTGTTCTCCTGTTGTCTTCACCTTTAATTTCCAAGTCTTTTCATCCCCACAGCACAGGGGGGCTCCTTCCTGGGAAAGCCAATGGGAGGCTTTCCTACCTCCAGGTAGGGGGAGACTCAGAGCAACAGTTCTCAACCTGTGGGGCTCACAGACCCTTTCACAGGGTCACCTGAGACCCTCAGAAAACAGGTATTTACATTAGGGTTTATAACTAGCAAAATTACAGTTACAAAGCAGCAACAAATAATTTTGCGGTTGGGGTCATCACAACATGAGGAACTGCTCAGGAAGGGTGACAAATATTTCTCCAGAGGAAGGATCTGAGGTCCCCAAGGCCAGGTTCCTCAGGCCCTCACACACAGCTCAGGTTGTGGTTTTTCTCTGGGTGTTTCTCAGCCAGGACAAAGCTGAGCTTTCTCTAAATGTCACCATCTGTCCCAGACTAAAAATCAAGGTCAGAGCCGTCCTTGCTGGTAGAATTCTCAGGTCCTCCTCCACCAAACTCTAGGCCACAGAGCACCCTGTCTGGGTGTGTGAGATGAGGGAACAGGCTTATCTTCTTCCAACCAGCCTTAGGACTGCTGTCCTCACTGATGAGTCGACATTCTAAAAGGGCTCCCACTGCCTGTGACGCCAGACACTTTCTTACGCTTTTTCCTCCTGAGGTTGCTTTTGGTCACAGTGCTTATCACAGCAACAGACACCAATATCTGTCTGTCTGTCTGTCTACCATCTATCATTCATTCACCTATACATCTATCATCTACTTACTGGCATATACAATAAGATGCTGGGCAACAGAAACGCATCTGGGGAAGCATGCACTTGTCTGAGAGTTTCTTAAAGACCCATGGTGCCCCCACCACCACCACATTGCTTCTGCAGGCCTCTCTCATGGTAGAAGCAGAAAGAAGAGCATTTCGCTCCAGTCCATGGGAGTGGCAACACTAAATTCCACAGTCAAGGGGTGTAGTGTGGGCTGTTTCTGGCTCGACTCCCAGAAAACTGAAGGTCCCAGGGAAGAAGTGTGGACTAATGTTCTCTACAGAACCTGGCTTTGTGTAAGACTTCTAGATGGTTTGTCATCATAACCTTATGGGAAGATGGGCTGTGGACTAGGAAACCAAGGTTCTCTGTGTGTGGTGCAAACACCTGTCATCTGAGCCCATCTGAGACCGTGAACTGGACAATGAGACCCCTATTTAAAGGCAAACAATGAAAAGGCCACGACTGTATTGGGTGGTTTTGGGCCCACAATGGCAGCCATGTATTATCAACATTTGCCTCTGGCATGGAATTTTTTGTGATTTCTGGATAAGACCCTAAAATGTACGCTAGACTCTCGGGTCTCTCATCCCTCCCAACCTCAAGGCTGAGAATGAGTGGGCACCAGCTTCTGCATAAAATGTCTCCACCCAGCTGAAGACTGTGTCAAAATCTCAGAGATTCCTCACCTCTCTATGGCCCACTTCCTGGATGGTGCTGCCACCTTTCTGTTGGGACTGTACGAGCCTCAGGTACCTCTCTGTAGGAGGACCATGATCTATGGGGACCCATGTCATTCCTAGTAACCTGTGTCTGTGTTTCAAACCATGATGCCTGGTGCTTGGGCTCAGAATAAACCATTTTCTTATTTCAAAATTGTTATTTTCTTTTTCAGGTTTTACAGAAAGAACTAGATGTGATATGAGTTATTTCAGGAAAGCTCTGGGAGGGCTGACTTCTACTAAGCCTTGTTAGGGTTCTCTTTTACTTGGGAAACCAGCTGTCATTGGTTTGTGTTATCTCTTCCTGTTCATGGTTGGACCCCTCAAGCACCTTGGGCCCCAACTCACCAAAGGTTCCTTGAGAACTCATCTGAGGCCCTTCACCTGCTTCCTGCTACAGCAGGACTCCCCGACCTGGGCCCTGAGCCTGAGCTATCTCCTCTGATGGCTCCAGTCCCCAATCTTCTCATTCCTCCCCCTCCCCGGCAGGGAAGCTGCCTCTATAGCCAGCCACACAACACTGCGGTCCTTGGGGAGGCAGTGCTCCCGAGGCTAGGACTGCACCTAGCCCTCGCATTAAAAAGTATGGGGGAAAGCGGTAGGGCCCACTGCGGCTTGGGGCCAAGGATACAGGGTGGTGTGAGAAACCGCCTGTGCCCCAGAGAACACTCAGTGTTGATTTTTTTCTTTAGTGTTCAGAATTCGAATGTTTTTCCTTCTCAATTCCTGCATCACAGATCACAATAGGAGGATGGGTTCTGCTTGCTCTCTGCAGAAACTGAGCTCTTGTGTTTTCCAAGGCACTGGAAGTTGGGTGAGCACATCCCCTAGGGTGCCATGGCTCTTTGTTGGTCCGGTTCAGAGGTTGTGGTGACCAGATCTGGGACTGACTGTGACCCAAGCCAAGTATTAGCCCAAGCTCTGGGTCAGGAAACCCTGAACTCATGCCCTTTCCCAACCCCCATCCCCACCCCGATCTTCTATTCCACCCTCTTGGTTCTGTAGGCTTGTTCTAGTATCTTGTATGACACTTTGCAATGTTTCTGGGCTCAGTATCGTTTGTCTACGACTGAAAGTTTACTCAGAACCTGGCTCTTCAGAAGAGCTACCTCTCCTCGCCCAGTCACACTGCTCCTGGGATCTCCAAGCCACCCAGTATATTACTCACTGACAGTATGCTACTCTGGTCTAGCAGTTTCCAATGGGCTTCTGTGGGTCAGTTTTATCTTCCTGACCCATACAGTGCTCTGGGCAGAGCAGTGACTTTGGGTACCTGGGCTGGGAACCAGAGAAAAAGGCCAACTGGCCCCTGTTTCCTTCACCCTCCAACCACCACTGCACTGAGGTGCTGTGACTGAACCACCAGCGGAAAGATGCCTCAGCCACTCTGCCACTGACCGAGTGATTCAATCGGAGAACCCAATCTGAAGTTGATCCATTCCCTGTCCAAGATGCATGTAGATTGGTTCTGCAGAGAAATAGGGTCCACAGATGGCAATCCAGACCCAGGCCAGAGTGAGGCGGGCAGGAGATGGGCCTGGCCCCACTGGGTTCATAAACTAGCTGGGTATTTCTATGTGGCCAATGACTGGTTCCTGGTTCCAGACACCACTCATTGACCAGAGAAATGTACTATCCTCCTAGGAAGGCACTGTCTTAACAAATTAGTCACTCTAGTCTTCTGTTGTACACAAAGAATGGACACCAGGTCTGGGCAGAGACCAGGCTTTCAGGGGCATGTGGAGGAAAACCCAGCTGAAGCTTGGCTCAACCCTCTTCCCATTCCAGCTTTAATCGCAATCCCTGCCTTCAGAACCTCAGCCATCCTCTCCAGACACTCAGGGGCTTCACCTCACACAGGCACAAACCAGAGTCCTGCTCATGGCCCCTAAGGTGGTGTTTAAGGGCTCAACTCTATTTCCTTATGTCCCACTACACCAGGTGGTCCTCCACAGCCTGGGTCTTTCCACCTAGCAGAAGGCTTTGATCACAAGTTGCCTCCCCACCGTGGCCATGCCCAGTGAACCTACCCTTCACACTCCTTTCAGACCCCACTGCTACCTTATCCTACAACAAAAAGCAATTCATTTGTCAAAAACAAGTCAATCACAAAGGGACAAACACAACACGGTTCCAGTTTTGTATGTGGTGAGGAAGGTCAAAGTCCAAGGCTGGGTATCTTCCTCGTCATTCTCCATCTTAAGCTGCTGAGACAGGGTCTGTCCACTGAACCTGGAGCTAGTGGATTTGGCTTAGACCAAACACCGAGGATCTGCCTGTCCCCTTGCTCCAACTCCACCCTGCTGCTAGGGTAACAGTTACACTCCACATCGTGCTCTTTCGTGGGTACTGGGATCTCATGCTTGCCCTGATGTACTTTATTCCTGAGCCCTCCTCCCCACCACCCTCCCTGTGATTCCACTGCTACGAGGAGTTCAGAGCTGTCAGATCCAAAAGAAACAGTAAGCAGCACGAGGATGGCCAGGGCCTGGGGTGTGGAAGGAGTTTAAAGGGTGCAGAATCCCGCCGGGCGGTGGTGACACATGCCTTTAATCCCAGCACTCGGGAGGCAGAGGCAGGCGGATCTCTGTGAGTTCGAGGCCAGGCTGGACCGACAGCCTCCAAAACAATACAGAGAAACCCTATCTCGTAAATCCAAAAAAAGGGTGCAGAATCCCAGTGAACAAGGGGGAGCTCTGGGGAGGACAGTGTGACTGCTGCAGAGCAGTGTGAACATCCTAAGGATACCTAGTCACACACAGCAAATGTGCTGTGTACATTTTGCCACCATTAAACCAAGACCCTCAATGTTTGTCTACTCTCATGGAGCTGTGAGTCCCACACAGAACTGACTTTTGCAGGCTGCTGAGTCCTCAGAGCGAGGGGCCAATGGGAAGTAGACCCAGTGGGACTGGCAGGATATAGGTGATGGCTGGGCGTGGACATGGGCACCACTACATTCTCCTGTGTATGACTGAAAATTCCCACTAGGAAAAGTCAAAAACTGTATTGGGGTATTTACAGCAAATTCGCTCAAGACACTCAGGGCCATCAGGGAGTGGTGTGTGTGTGTGTGTGCGTATGGGGTAGGGACAACAGAGTCAGAATGAGGAGAATGATGGGAGAGAGTGGAGGAAAGGACAGAACAGGCAGACAGATCTTGCTTCTCAGCCTTGGCCTCTGAGGCAGAGCTTTTGATATTCTCCTAGGACCACATACACTCAAGGTCTGTTACGAGAGTGGGACCAGACAGCTGTGCCAGTGGGGCTTGGCAGTGCAGAGGGAGAGTGCCTCACATGGAAGAAGGATGCTTCTCACAAAGTCATGGCATGATCCTGCTGAACTGGGCTCACTGGGAGAGCCACAGGTGACCACAGGTCAGGGTCTTACGCCAGTCAGGTTTTCTGTAACTCTGCCTATACTCAGAGGGTGGAAATGAGGCTGTGTAGCACTGTCTGGCTCCTAATCCCCTCTTGCATTATTGCTGTTCTCTCCACAAGCTCTTTGTTGACACAATCTGGATATCTCTCTCCTGAAGAGACAAAAGGAAGGAGTACATGGAAATTCTGTCTGGCATCCGTAGCACAAAACTCCATGTGGGAGCTTCGCTTGTGTGCAGCTGTGGCCGCAGTCCATGTTCAGTTGGGCTCAGCACCCCATGACACAGAACTGTCCAAGGGGATTCCATCACTTGGCCCAGATGGTCAGCTTTCCGATGACAGTCTCATAATACTTCCTGGTGAAAGACCTATAGCCCACATCAATGGCTCTGTGTCACGGGGCAGACCTGAGCCCCCTGCTAATCCTCTCCAGTTGTTCTGGAAGGGCTCCCAGGACAGCTTCGTGGAGGTGAGTGAGTGTGCAAGTGTGCGTGGGTAAGTGTGGAGTACGACAGTAGGTCTGTGGACCTATGCTTTGTACGCACGCGTATGCGTGAGTGTCCATGTGAGACAAAGGCAAGCCACTTGACTGGAGAACAGCAGGGGACACGGGATGAAATGAAGTGTATCTCTCTTGTCCCCACAGGGAGTAGTTTCTGCAGAAGGTGGCTGTGCTGGGTAGTTTCATGTCAACCTGACACAAGCCATGAAGTCATTTGAGAGAAGGGAACCTCAATTAAGAAAAACACCTGCATAAGATCAGGCTGTAGGAAAGCCTATAGGGCATTTTCTTGGTGATTGATGGGGAGGGCTCAGATAACTGTAAGTGGTACTATCCCTGGGCTGGTGGTTCTGGGTTCTATAAGAACCACCATGGAGATAGTTAGCAACACCCCTCAATGACCTCTGCATCAGCCCTTGACTCCAGGTTCCCGTCCTGCATCCTTCAGTGATGGACACACAGTGTGGGGTGTGAGCCCAATGAACCCTTTCCTGCCAGTTTGCTCTTTTGTCATTGTGTCTCACCACAGCAATAGCAACCCTGGCTAAGACACCGGCCCAGCTGCAGAGGCGAGCCCAAGGGCAGAAGAGGCAGGCACCTCATTATGTGAAATTCTCCAATGGAAGAAAGGACATAAAACCTACCCTCAAAGTGGTACCTCCTAGACAGTCAGGGTGGCCCCACTGGAAAAAGGCATTTTGAAGCTATCATTTTTTTTTAAGCAGAGAAGGGGCAGGGCTGGAGATCATAGTTTGAGCTGTCGGGACTTGTTTCCTCAGAGACCAGGAAATCTTGGATGGAGACCTGGAAGGTCTCACAGAGCAGGCTGGGTTAGTCAAGCAGAGTTGGGAGGAAGCTTCCTCTACAGTTCATGGCCTTTTCCTTTCACTCAGTGAGTCCAGGCCTGGCACAATGGAGGAGATGCCCAGCTCTTAGCTCAGTGTGTTGTTAAGTAAAGGGAGAACCTAGAGCCCAGAGTCCTGGCAGTTGCCTGAGCAGGACTGTAGCTCCGAGAGCCCCCATGTCCCTGACCCCGAGGGCAGGGCCAGCCTTTGCAGGCAAGCTCTTGTGATACTGGTAGAGATGAAAATATTATTTTTGATCTCAGTAGCTTAGGAGATGGGATGGCAGCCAGCTCTCATACACCAGGGGAGAAACCACTGTCTGGTACACACCAGGTGTTTAATAACAGGTCTGTATGCCTATCCCCATTACCAAAACTAGACTTCTCCTTCAATAACATGGTCAGATTTAATTCTATAGTAAATGAGCATTTACTTCTTTGTTATCTAAAATGAGTCTTGTTTTTGTATGAATCACTCTTCTGGTTCTGAAAGTATTCCTTCTTCCTTCACTGCTGGGACAGGTACCCCATTCCTCTGTAAATTCACCCTGGTACTCAATGGGGTTCAACTCTTTGGTTCAATTTGCAGCTTTTTTTTTCTTTCATGAGAGGGAAAACTCCCTGATTCCAGGAATCCCCATCTCCATGCTGCCTCCTCAGACCACTGAGGCTTGAGCACGGATGCATCAGAGGTGGCAGAAGGTACAGGCAGACAGAATGCCTCTTTTTCTTTCTTTTCAGTCTATATCCTACATACTTTATGTTCCTGCTCAGATGTCTGTCAAAGTCATCACACTATTTATTATACCTGTGACAAATTTTTACCAGTTGAAATGTCACATTCTACTTTTTTTTTTTTTGAGTCAGGGTCTCATGTAGCCCAAGCTGACCTAGAACTTGATTTGGAACCAAGGATGGACTTGATCCTCCAGCCTCCAGTTCCCAAGTGCTGGGATTACAGGCATGTGTCACCACGTCTACTTTTACCCTGTGTTGGTGATAAACCCAGGGCTTCTTCACACATGCTGGGCAAGTACTCTATCAACTGAATCACACCTCCAGCCTCAGTCTCAGTTCTTAAAACATGACAGCCACCATCCAAGGTTGAGTGGTCAGAGATCACCCAGCTCCCTAGATGTACAGAAACGTGGATTCCACCTACACAACTCCATAAGAACAGAACACACAAGCTTCCACATCAGCAGGCCCATGAAATGAACCATAGATAAGTGGTCATCTTTCCCAGCCATGCTGATCTCAACCCCCTGAACCTCAGGTAGCATGTCCCAGAAACAGTTTCTCCCCAAGGGACACAATTCAGGCAGATGTCTTCCCTCCCAAGTAACCCTCCATCAACCAGATCTCTTGCCAGGGACCAAGGAGATGGAGTCCCTTCCTCTGGCAGATGGGGTTCTCCACACACACATTTAATTTGTAACAAGACAAGCTGACAGTTCGACTCATCCTCAGTCTTCCTTAAGCCACTGTTTTTCCTAAACCAGTAACCATCCCAATTGATCCCTAAACCACACAGAGCCAGGTGAGAAAGAAAACATCCTCAGGAAGAGTGATGGTGCTGGTGACACAGTTCCCGGGAGCAGCATGGCCACTGGTAAGCAGTCATCCCTTTACCTGAACCACACTGCCTCAGGGTTATGCCCAGAGCAGCAAGCCACGCTCACACAGGTGTACACACGCACACATGTGCACACACGTGCACACACACACACACACACACACACACACACACGATCATCAGAGAAACCGAAAGGACAGGGTCCTACCAAAAAGCCCATGGGGTTCCGACTGGCGCCTCTGGGTGCTTCGGTTTTGGTCCTTGGGTTTCTTGTTGCCCCTCAGACTTCCAAAGCGCTTCATGAGTCACTGTGGTCACAGAAGTGGTGACAGATGAACATATCAGGACTTGAAGAACCAGCACGAGCCTCAGCTCGTGAACAGGGGTTCACCAGAAGGGGAGCGGCATCAGATGGCAAGTGCGGGTACCTGGGCGTCACAGCTCACACTGCTGAGAGGCAGTCAGACTCAGCCACAGCCCGTGGGTCTGAATGTCCTCACCAAGACATCTCTGATCAACAGGAGATGAGGGTCGTGCCCCAGGACCAGTCTAGTAGCCACAGGGGACCTCACAGCAGTTCTTCTCACTGAGGTCCCTGAGACTTCTGAGCAGAAGCAGTTCTGACTGGCCGCACCTCTCCTCTCCCGGCAGGCAGCTGGAGTGTCAGTGTCGCCTGTCCTAAGTAGGCAAGAAGCCACTGGAGGTACGAACACAACCTTGCAGGGGATCTGTTTATGTAGTTAAGGTCACAGGCTCACCGACAAGCTCCAGGTTACTTATTCTCTTTAAACTTAAAGCAGAAGGGGAGCCCAAGTAGGCAGAGCCGGCACCAGCCTGCTAGTCATGTGCAGATCTGCGTGATGTCTCTTTAAGAAGACTGTAAAAGGAAACCACCCTGTACAGACAATTCTTGGCACCAATTGGCTAGAGCACATTCCCATTGTGACATGACATCACACAACTATTTTGATGCATGTGCTTGTGGCTCTGAGAGCTAGAAGGCTCCAGAGGCTGCCTGAGGAGAAGCCCTGAGAACACCAGGGCTAGATTCTGCTGAATCTCCTTTGGCCTTCACTCTTCTAGGGAGCATAGCAAGATCCCCTTTCAGGAGAGGAAGGGTTGCCGTAGGATTCAGCACAAGGTCTCAGTCGAGCATGGAACCTGACTTGCTAAGAACTGCACGACAGAACTCAGATTTTGGAGGACATCTCACTCGACTCCTACTGTAGACAGTTAGGGTGGGCTGTGGCTCATCCAAGCTCCGGCAGCCAATGACAGAGACAAGACTGGAACACTAATCTCATCTACCACAAGTCTAATGTCCACCCTGACAAAGCATGGAAGCTTTAGTTCACACATGTGCTGTAAGTAAAAAGAGGGTAAAACACAAGAGAGGGAAACCAGCTTGTTTTTCTGATGGCTTTTACTAAAGAAAGTAACTTTCTCTCTTACTAAGTAGCACTGTGACCTTGCAAAAGTCTCTTCTCATCTCTGGGACTCAATGTCCACCTCTCATAGCCAGGATGAGACCAGGTCATAGCAGCGTTTCAAGTTCTTACACTCTGGGGTAGAGAGATGGCTCAGCGGCTAAGACTATGTACTTTGCACTGCTCTTTCAGAGAATCCTGTCACCCATGACACACAGATCACAACCACCAGTTACTCCAGTTCCAGGGGAATCAGATGATCCCCGCACACCTGCACAGACCCATACTCCACACACACACCTGCACTCACATGCACACACCTGCACTCACATGCACAGACCCATTCTACACACACACACCTGCACTCACATGCACACACCTGCACTCACATGCACAGACCCATTCTACACACACACACCTGCACTCACATGCACACACCTGCACTCACATGCACAGACCCATTCTACACACACACACCTGCACTCACATGCACACACCTGCACTCACATGCACAGACCCATTCTACACACACACACCTGCACTCACATGCACACACCTGCACTCACATGCACAGACCCGTTTTACACACACACACCTGCACTCACATACACACACCTGCAGTCACATGCACAGACCCATTCTACACACACACACCTGCACTCACATACACACACCTGCAGTCACATGCACAGACCCATTCTACACACACACACACACACACACACACACACACACACCTGCACTGACCCATTCTCAGGGACACAGGCAAATAATTTGTAGAAACCAAGTTCCAATAATCTGCACCAAATGGTAATGAAACCTGAGTGGATGCTCTCCCAAATAACCACTCACCTAAGAGTTAGTTACATGGTCCCTGTGCTGTAGATGACTATCGTGGGGCTTCTCAGCTCCCTGTTTAGATGGAATCACCTTCACAAACCTCACTGATAAATTTTTGTTATCTAACATGACATCTGGAAATGAGGGGGTTTAAGAAGATAGGATGGGGACACTTGTGAGGAGGACCCAAACCCACAAGAAACCACCATGAGTTCAAGCCTGGCTGCTCTGTGTGGGTTCGCTATTCTATCAGGCCGAGTTGAGCACTGTCGGTTACCACCTGTTCACCATGAAGCACGTGTGAGAAAATGATGGATTCCCTAGGTAGGGCAACAGGCTGAGAAAGTACAAGCTTTAGGGAGCCTTGCTATGAGGGTCTCCACCAAGCAGGAAGAGTCCACGACAAGGGAGGTCCAGGATGCCATAAGTAGGAGTTTGGACTGTCTCTCCCAGGACTGAGAACTTGATCTCCAGCCAAGTGTGGGTGGTTGAAGGACCTCTGTGGTCTGGAGTCTAGCTGGTGGAACTCACAGGGAGTGAGCTTGTTCTGGCTCTGACCCACTTTGTCTGTGGTTGGCCCACACAATACTAACAACTGGGCCTCACGTCCCCAACACACTTTTCCCAGCATGAAGAACTGAAATCCCTTTGAAACTAGGAACCCAAATAAAGACTTACTCCCTTCAGTGGCCTCTGACCTGCCATCCCCAGGGCCTTCCTTTGGTCACAGTGCTGAGACCCTGCCTCATCCTGTATTTCTGCCTGCCTCACTGTACTGCCCCAGCCTGTCTCTGTACTGCCCCATCATCCTCTCGCTGACAGTGGGTGGTGAAGCTTTGTCTTGACTTCTTTTCTGTGGTCTCTACTGAGTTACTGGCGACTGCAGGGACTTCAGCGCTGCACTGGATGCTGTGAGGTGGGGAACCAGCCTTAGCACAGCTGCTGGGGTTGTCCCCACTTCCCCATGAGGGCCCCTTCTTCCAGTCACACTTCAGATTTTCTAAGCTGCATGTGCGGCTGATTTAGTCCTTTGGCCACCAGAAGCCAGTCCTTCCGTCTGGCTACGTCTCTAGTATAGTAGCAGGGTATCTCCGTGGTCAGATTACAGTGGCCCAAACTTCCCATGATTAAAAAACTCTGCAAAAGATGAAGTGTGCACATTTTAGGTTTTGAAGAATTTATATAAACTCTGCTTAAAGTAAAAATTAAATTTTTCTCAATTTAAAACTATGATGATCCCGGTGTGGTGGCACACACCTTTAATTGTAGCACTGGGGAAGCCGAGACAGGATGATTGTGAGTTCCTGATCAGCATGGGCTACACAGTTAAGACCTATCCCTAAACAAAAATGCAAAAAAGAAACAACAACCTAATAAAGTAAAATAAGAAGAAAAATGCAAAGATCTGTCTGCATGGGCCACTGAACATACATAAAAGGCTATGTAAAAAGACATAATGTTCTTTTTAATGCATGTTTGCATGCATGCACAAGTGGAGAAATTGTGTATATGTGTGTGTGTGTGTGTGCGCGCGCGTGCAAGAGGTTGATGTGGACTGACTTCCTCAATTGCTTTCCACATTATTTTTTGAGGCAGCGTCTGTCCCCGAACCTGGAGTCTGGCAATTCACTAGACTGAGTGGCTGGCAGTGAGCCCCAGGGATTCTCCTGTCCTCACTCCCCAGTATAGGGATGCTGAGCATGGAGGGGGCAGCTTTTTGTGTGGGTTCTGGGGATTCAAACTGAGGTTCTCATGCCTCTGGGACATTTCACTGACTAAGCCATCTCCCCAGCCAACAATGTAAGCATTCTTACTCTAGAAAGTGAGCACAGAATGTGGAAAGAAATATTTCAATGTCTAGTGACTAGAAGCAGACGAATTTCAGTTTATAAGGAAATGAACAGCAAGTGGAGGTGGGCATGGTGGCCTGGTTTATCCTGGTTTATCCAGACACTCACTCAGCAGGTGGGGAATGTTCCAGGCAGCTGTTGATGGAGGGGATTTGGGTGCTGTAAACCACTCAAAGACACTCCTGTTCTCCAAGAACGGTATTTTCATTATCAAAATAATAACTACCATTTACCAAGAGTCTCTTACAAACCAAGCAAGCACTGGGCAACTTAACAGCTGTCATTCCATTTTGTCCCTACAAGGCTGAAGGGCAGGCATCAATAGCCGAGCCATCTAAAGATGAAGAGTTGAGAGTCAGAGTAGCAGCTTGGTGGGGTCACACAGTTGAAAAGCCAGGGCAGGGGGCATGGACTAGAACCCTGATTCTACTTCTGTTTGCATGCACACAATACAACATCAGGGCCCAAGGTCAAAGCCCCCTCTGGCTCCCCCAGGCCCTGCCTCAGTGAGTTCCTTGGAAGAAAAAGAATATGCAAGAGTCTAGATTCTTCATAGTCACCTTTGACCTCCAGGTAGGAGAGTTTAAAGGCAGAAGTGCCAATCCTGAAAACCCTGTTCTGCATCCCCATGGCAGCCATGGCATGCCAGCAGTGCAGGTGAACCCTGTGTTTGAAGTGCCAAGAAGAACAGACTGTGTCACTTTCCAGGTGGCTAAGCACAGGAGAGAAACACAGACAATCCCTCTGCCCGGCTCTGGCCTTTGCTCTGAACTTAACCCACAGGGGCATTTGGGGGTCTTTCTAAGGAACTTAAGAATGTGATCAATTAGGTGAAGGGGAAAAAAAGAATTCCCTGTGTCCTTCAGGGTCACTGGCTGGGGTGGGAATGGGGGTGGGGGGGTGGGGGGGGTGAGGAGGAACAGGCAAGGTTCAGCTTGAGTTTTTGGCCTGGCACAAGGTCTACACTAAGGAAGCTTTTGGAGAGGGAAGCACTTAAGAGGCCTGGGAGCGCTCACAAGATGAGGCTGTTTTAAAGTGGTCTGGCTCTTTCTAGATCATGCCTTAAAAACTATAGTCATCAATGGCGTGAACCAGGAACAGTGAGGTTGGGGACAGCAGATGCCCTCACAGGACACCATTCTGACACCAGTCCTACAAGATTTAGGGCGAGGTGTAAAGCCAAGTAAAGCATTTCATGTTTCTTTTTCCTACTTTTCAGGCTCCTTACTGGTGACACAATACCAAGTGTCCAGACCTGAAAACAACATACATGCAGACAAAACTGAACTCAGCAAGCTGTATTTGCCTATTTATGTGCACATTTGTATGTTACATAACAATAAAGAAAAAGAAACTGTCAGTTTGAGGGGATGGGGACACGGGAAGGGTTGGAGGGGAGGATACCTGGGAGGGTTGGAGGGGGTAGTGATGTAATTCTATTTTAATTTAAAATGTACTAATTTTGTGAAAACACACATTAAAATAAACCCACCACACAGTCATGGGCTGGGAAGGTGACCCAGTAGTTAGAGCACATGCTGTGCCCGCAGGAGGACTGGAGTTTGGGTCCCCAGAGCCCTTGTAAATTTTGGGTGGCTGTGGTGGCCTGCCACTAAGTCAAGCCTCGGAAGGCAGAACCACGATCCCCAGAGCAAGTTGTCTAGTGAGACTAGCCCTGTCAGTGAGCTCTGGGCTTGACTGAGAGACCCTGTCTCAATAAAGAATTTGGAAGAGGTGTTGAGTACGATTCCCAACACCAACTTGGGGCTCTTATATGCACACACACAAGCATACACATTGACACACATGTACCCACAAGCATGCAAAATATGCATACATGCATGTGCGTACACACACACACACACATACACACACACACACACCACAGTTCTTAGCTCTAAATCTTCAGATATAACCGCAGCTCCCACCACTCATCAAAGAAGCTTCTCTTTACAGCAAGTGAAGACTATCACAGAAATCCACAACTGCACACAAAAATGCAGAGATGAATGGGCTGTGGGGGGCATTCATGGATACACTCGTGTATGCTCTCGTTGTTGCTATCAGTTTAGATTCCAGGTATAAGTCTGCACTCAGCAACAAGAAAGATTACAAAGCAATGAAGACCACAACCTTGGGACACTGCACACTTCCAGCTTACACCATTATTTTGTCTTATATGTTAATTTTCTTTCTAGCTAGACTGAAAGTACTGTATTCACAGGGATCCCCTCCCATAAGAGAAACAGAACAAGCACATGCTGATGGGGTTTCTTGCAGCTGGTTCAGCAACAGAGAAGTGGGCCAGCGAAGCGGGAGGAGCTTCTTGGGAGGCCTGCATAGGCTGACTGTCCTGGAGACCAGGGAGGGACTGTGGCAGCTCTCTGACCTTTGCAGTCAAGCTCTGCTCTCCTCTGTAGTGAGACATAGGATGCCCACAGGCCTGGATCTTCTCAACCCGAACGTTCAGGGTTTATAGGTGTGATGGATGCCACCAGGTCTATTGCAGCAACAGTTCAAAGCCAGAGTGTTCAACAGATGGCAGTCCCGGGCAGCAGAGGTCACAGTCACGGATGGGCAGCTGAAGGAGCTGCAGACAGGGAGGGGCTCCGAACTGCACTTCAGTGCATGTGCAAGGGGTGTTCTCATGCTCTGGACACAGCACACACTGCAGGCCACACCTCTCATTGTGGTGTAGTGAGCGCACTGTTGTAGTCCTAAAGCTCCCCCGTAATCCTGTATTCTAAAGCACACAAATAATCTATCTAATCCTAGGAGGATTCCTGATGGTGACTGGCCATGTTCTCACACATGGGAGACATGCTAAGTAAGATAGAGACACCTGTTGTCCAGTAAATTGGGCATGTTTTAGACTTGAGGTTGGGGCTTACCCAGAACTGGCCAATGTGGCTCTTAGTCTCTGTTGCGGATACCACAGTAGCTACCCAACCTCTACCTGTACCCCAAAGGACACCCTCCACATGACTGTGTGGTGGGTGGGATTCTGAGAGTTTTAGCTTCCTGAAACCACATGGTTAGGGACAGTTTGAGTCCCTTGATACCTGGAAGTTCATAGAAAGCCCACAGAGATGATTGATTCTTGATTAAAATCACCTTTCAGAAAAGCCCCCAAATCCTCATTACCACTGGAGCTACTCTGGGTGACGTGACAAATTTTACTACAACTGCCACAAGGATGTACAGGGGAGAAAGGTAGCTGAGACTCAGGGTGCATCCAACCAGGATGGGGCACCTTGATCCATTCACAAGCAGGGTATCCCTCATCCATTCACGAGCAGGGTATCCCTCATCCATTCACGAGCAGGGTATCCCTCATCCATTCACGAGCAGGGTATCCCTCATCCATTCACGAGCAGGGTATCCCTCATCCATTCACGAGCAGGGTGTCCCTCATCCACTCACGAGCAGGGTGTCCCTCATCCACTCACGAGCAGGGTGTCCCTCATCCATTCATGAGCAGGGTGTCCCTCATCCATTCACGAGCAGGGTGTCCCTCATCCATTCACGAGCAGGGTATCCCTCATCCATTCACGAGCAGGGTATCCCTCATCCATTCACGAGCAGGGTATCCCTCATCCATTCACGAGCAGGGTATCCCTCATCCATTCACGAGCAGGGTATCCCTCATCCATTCACGAGCAGGGTGTCCCTCATCCATTCACGAGCAGGGTGTCCCTCATCCATTCACGAGCAGGGTGTCCCTCATCCATTCACGAGCAGGGTATCCCTCATCCATTCACGAGCAGGGTGTCCCTCATCCATTCATGAGCAGGGTGTCCCTCATCCACTCACGAGCAGGGTGTCCCTCATCCATTCATGAGCAGGGTGTCCCTCATCCATTCACGAGCAGGGTGTCCCTCATCCATTCACGAGCAGGGTATCCCTCATCCATTCACGAGCAGGGTATCCCTCATCCATTCACGAGCAGGGTATCCCTCATCCATTCACGAGCAGGGTGTCTCTCATCCATTCACGAGCAGGGTGTCTCTCATCCATTCATGAGCAGGGTGTCCCTCATCCATTCATGAGAAAGGTGTCTCTCATGCTAGTGAGGAGCTGCCGAGGCCTGTAATCCACGTGCTCCAGGACCTCTCCCCATCCAGAGGTCACAGCTTGCCTGGTAATCATGCTCACATGTCCTGTGTGGAGCGACTTCTCCAAAGTACTTTCCTATGTTTTTAGCATGCTGGGAGGAGGAGGAGGAGGCTAGCTGCTGTTGTTCAATTAGGGATATCCAGTGACAGAAGTTCCCAGGAGCCCCCAGGATCCAGAGTGGCCTGGAAGAGAGCTGGGATCTGTGACCCACTGCAGTTTCCTCATCCAGGTCCAGTGGGGACCCTGCAGCTGCTCTCTCTGTTGCAGGGATGTAGGAAAAGAAACTGAGGACACACCATCAAAACCTGGCTCTCAACCCCTTGAGGGTTATGACCCAGAGGGCCTGAAAAGCACCCAGGTCCTTGAGAGGCTGCTGCCAACCGAAACTCTGGGGTGTGAGGTGCAGACCCCTTCGGAGCAGGGAGCAGTGTATACACTTGCTAGAACACTCCTGCTGGTTGCAAAACAGTGTGTCGTATTTCACGGAGAGTTCTAAAGGCTGTGTTGCACTTACTTCCTAGTGAACTTGCCCTTGGGGCCTCCCTTGTCCCTTCTTCAGGGACAGTGTTTGAATCACACCGCTGAGGCATGGTCCTCCCCACTTGACTCAGGCAACCATGTGGCTCCATGAGTCACCCCAGCACACTCAGGGTCACACCTAGCCTCGTGGTGCCTGGGGGAACTGGAGTTGGGAGGATGTGAGTGACAAGAGAGTGTTTATTTTGGCAAATACAAGCTCAGTTCACCCAGTTCAGCTCACACCAATGACATCTGAGCCCACTGAGAGTTGAAAGTGGCCCACAGGCAATCCTACTGTTAAAAACACAGAGGTGTGCTGAGTGCTTGCTGTGCAGGAGGGCCTTCCTGAGGGTCCCCTGTGCAAGCATGAGGGCCTGTCTGAGGGTCCCGAAGCCACATAAAAGCCTGGTGTGGCTGTGCATGCCTATGACCGAGCAGTGAAGCAACAAAGTCAGACAGGAACGTGTCCCAGCTCAGCTATGGCAGGGGAAAGAAGACCCATGAGTTCCCAGACTCTGCCAAAAGCCAGGATCTGGCTGATTCAGCCTCACCTGCCAGGCACTTGAGCAGGCATGACATTTTCTGGGACCTGGGGTTCATTTGAAGGACCCCAAAGGGTTCTGCCCTCATTCATTTGGAAATTCAATGAACAGGAGTTCAGAATGCAAAGTCTGAATCAAGGGCTGCCTTTGACTGGTTTCTCCTCCAAGCGAAACAAGTGATACAATGAGGTGGTAGACAGAAAGGTTTACTGGTCAGACACAGCCCCTGAGGGAGATCTGGATCTACTTACAGGCCTGTAATCCTGAGCCATTTAAATGGTTCTTCAACAATTCTCCTGTAACACAGGTGTTCCATAGCAAGCTTGGCTCACTCAGAGATCTCCACCCTTTCTGCCATGCAGAAACATCCCACGAGCGAGCTGCACAGCATCAACCACTGGCGCCATGGCCTTCCCTGGTGCCACCTGACCCTCTATATCCATCTTAGGGTCATACTTTCAAGAACAAACTGTAATCGCCAGTACCCACAGCCCTCATCCTCTCCCTTCATGTCAACAAGGCTAAATGTCTGCATGGAGCAGGCGCAAAGGGGCGACACATTGAAGCAGCTCCGGTCATCATCACAGCCAGACACGCTTTGTGCATCCAAAGATTTCATCAGAAGCGTGAAGACAACTCACAGGGGAGAAAACGTTTGCGAGTCACCTATCTGCAAAATGCCCAGAATTCCTACAAACTAGTAACAAAAGGACAACACAATTAAAAACAGGCAGGAGGGGCTGGAAAAATTAAGAGCCTCTTTCACAGGACCCAGGTTCAGTCCCCAGCACCCACATCAGGCGGGGCTCACAACTACCTGCAACTCCAGTTCTGGGGAATCCGAGGCACTCTCCTGACCTTTGCAGGCCCTCACATGCATGCGGTGCATATAAACACGCTCCCCCTCCCTCCCTCCCTCCCTCCCTCCCTCCCTCCCTCCCTCCCTCCCTCCCTCCCTCCCTCCACCTTAAATAAAAAAATAAAAAAAGAACTGAAGACAGGTATTAAAGCAGCCTGCAAATGAATGTTCACAGCATTACTAGTCACAAAATCCAAAAGGGAAAACAACCTGAACATTCATCAATGGATGACTGGGTAAAAAAAAGTGTGGTATATTTATTCAAGGGAATATTATTTAACCATGAAAGCATGGAGTCATGATAAATGGTACGATGTATAATTT